GGGCCGCCCCATGTTTCAGGCACTCTGAGTTCCTTACCATAGCATTTTCTTAGGTCATTGAGCTGGGTCAAGGGGAACTGACCAGGGGATCTGGGGGAGCCCAGCTCATCGCTGCAGCTTAGAAACAACATGCTTGTGTGTCCACTGCCGTCTTTGCTAGACAGGGCTCTCTGTTTTACCAGAAAGAGAGGGAAGATGGTACACGTGGAAAGGGTACTATGGTGAGAGGTTTGTGTTCTAACCCCAGATTGAGACAGATCTTCTTCTTCTTCTTCTTCTTCTTCTTCTTTCCTCTTTCTTGTTCTTCTTTTTTTTTTCTTTAGGCAGATTTGCTGCAGCTCTGGCCTTAAACTCACTACATAGCCCAGATTGGCCTCAAACTTGTGGTGATTGTCCTGCCACAGCCTCCCAAGTGCTGGGATTACAGGCCTGTACCACCACACCGGGCTGGGGCAGATCTTCTGATCTCTGATTTAGCCTCTTCATCTGTAAAATAGCAGTGTAGAGACTAAAATAAGCTGATGAGTAGTGTGAGTCTGGCCTAAAAAGCATAGGTTGCTGTGCAGGTTTGTAGAACTTTCCTGTTCTTATGCTAGTTTATATTCTGGCCATCAACATTGTGGCACTGGTGCTGCTACTTCTTCTCTTCTTTTTTCCTTTTCTTCTTCTTTTTCTTTTTACTTTTTGAGGCTGAGTCTAGGAACGTAACCCAAGCTGGCCTCAAACTCACGATCCTTCTGCATTAGCCTTCTGGGTACTGGGATTATACCGTGTACCACCCAGCCTGGCTATACATTTTATTTTTTATTTTAAAAAACTTGAAATACTGTCTAGGCTTTTTAAAAATTGCTGGTAAACAGTTTTAAATATCAGATAAAACATGTTTTCCCCTCTTTTAACACTGTGGTTTTTTTTTTTTTTTTGTACCTGGGATCAAACTCGGGACCTTATGCTTTTGAGGCAGGCGGTGGAACCACTGGGCTAAATCCCTGGCAGTTTTCCCCTCTTTTAGAAATGCACTTTCTGTCATAGTTTGTTTTGTTTGATAACTACTTTCTTTGTTTGGGCCATACTAACAATGAAAAAAGAAAGGTGAAGTTCTGGGCTGGGAATTTACCTCAGTGGCACCATGCCTGCCTTGCAAGTGCAAGGCCCAGAGCTCGATCCACAGTACTGCAAAAAAAAAAAAAAAAAAAGAAAGGTGAAGTTCTAATCTACATTATAGTTCTTTTTGCTGAATTCATGAAATGAATTTGGGTTGACAGTTAACAGATTTGGGTTTTTTAATTCCTAGAAATTTTATACATAAACCTAACTGCTCATTTTTTTTTATTCATTTATTTTTTTGATACTGGGGATCGAACTCGGGACCTGGTACTTGCGAGGCAGGCAGTGGCACCACTGAGCTAAATCCCCGGCCCAACTGCTCATTTTTTTGATGAAGATACTGAGACCAAGCAAGCAAGTAACCAGCCATACCAGGATTGGAACTGGGTCTCTTCCTGGTCCTGGCTGCTCTTATGTGCTCCCTCCCTCATAGTTTGCTTAAGTAAGTAAAGGTGATTAAGGATATTATCACTGAATTTAGCCATCCCTGTGTTTAACAAGAGTGATGTTTATTATTTATTCATTTATTTTTTTGAGACAGGATCTCCATATGTAGTTCAGGCTGGCCTGGAACTCACTGTGTAGCCCAGGCTGGCCTCCAACTTGCAGTGATCCTACTGCCTCAGTCTCACAAGTGCTGGGAATACAGACTTGTGCCACCATGCCCAGAAAGAACTGATTAATTGTCCAGTGCTGAAGTCTAGAGTCAAATCTTAATCTTAAATGTGTTTACCGAATCAAACTAAGCACTTCCACATAACACTGCTGATGTTAGACAACTGAACATGTAATGCTCCTTATTACTGGAGAGTGTTGAGGCAGGGAGCGGAACCACTGAGCTAAATCCCCGGCTGGAGAGTGTTGAACTAGTGATTATAAAAGCTGGATCTCAGTTCTGCTCAGTAACTTTAGTTTAAAAAGGTGTATTTAATCTTTTGAGCAAGTACTTAACTATTTATGAGATGAGAAGGATGACAATATGACATTTAGGACCTGCGCCAGGACCTTAGTTGGAGGACCTATGAAACTCCCAGGCAGAGGACAGGGTAGGCAGGGAGAGACTGGTGTTTTCTTTCTGTTTCTTGAGGACTTAGATCAGTTATTTTTTTCATTTTATCCCCTTCTCTGTTCTGTCTTCTAGTTATCTATGTTCCTTTCCAAAAACTGCCCTTGTTTATCCTTTAGGTGCTTGGTTAAATTTTCTCTTCCTCTCTGCAGTCATTGTGGCACATACTGGTTTTCCTTTTCTAAACTCATCGCCCTTGTGAGCTCCTCTTCCATCCATCATGGCGCATACTGCAGGGCGTGTCTTCCTTAGAAGTCTCTAGGGGGTAGGTTAATACAGAAGGAGAAGAACAAACTGAAGATAAGTAGATTTAGCTATGTGATCGTTGGCTGGCCCATTAAAAATATATTGTGTTCAGTGTTTTAATAACTAGTACGTTTTCTAAATAGTCCATTTTTTGATAAATTTTTTTTTTTTCCCAAAAAAACTTAAAAGAGTAAAAAAAAGTTGTCTTCTATTCCTAGGCACCCATCTACTAAAGCCCTTCCCCTTAAAGTAGTTTGTTTCTGGTTTTTTTTTTTTTTTTTGAGACAAAGTCTACATAGTTCAGGCTGGCCTTGAACTCACTATGTAGCCCAAGCTGGCCTTGAATTTACAGCAGTCCTCTTGCCTCAGCCTTCTGAGAGCTGGGATTACAGATGTGTGTCACCACGCCTGGCCAGTTATTTGTTTCTTATGTATCCCACCAATTTCTTATTTTTTTTTCCCTTTTTCTTTTACACAAAAGATGGCATACTTTATATACTCTTATGTACCTTGTTTTTTAATGTAATTTATCTTGGAGATTTTTCATATCAGTACATAGTAACTTCCTCGTGGGGTTTTTTTTTTTAACATTTTATAACTTAACCAGTGGTTGGGAATTTTTATATAGTAAAGTCCCAGGTGATTTTAAAATTTGAATGACCTTTGAGCCTTACCTGAGAAATACGCTTTTCATTTCTCTAAAACTTACATTTCCATAGCACTTTACAGCTTATAAGCACTTTACATTTTTGAAATTGATCCTCACAGAACCTCTTTGGGGGTCAGTACTACAAGCCTTCCTAGGTAAATGAGAAAAAAAATCTATTTAGGATTTTGCTGACTGTGGCACAAGATTCCTCAATAAAATCCTCACCATGGTCCTTTCATGTGCTCAACTGGCAAATACAAGGTTTGCTTGAGAAACACAGCCTGCTTTGTAGGGCTGATAAAGTCTTCATTACTGCATTTATAACCACTTGTAAGTTTACTTCCTTCACTTGACTCACTTCCTTAAAATCAGTAGAGCATGTACAAAAGGATCTCCACATAAATGACACTTTGAGAAACAAAACCAATTTAGAAAAAAAGATATGCAAATGTTCTTTTTATAGATTAAAAATTTTAAATCTTAAAAATATCCTAACTGAAATATTTGTATGCAGAAGAAGTTTCTTGCTTAATGAAATTGAAAGTGTTTACTGAGATGATTATGTGATTATGGCTCCTTAAATAGTTAAATGTTAGGACTGAGAAAAATAGGGGATATTTTAACCTGGGATTTGACATTTAGGAAGAGCTCTGTTGATCAGAGTACACCCTTACCTATATCATCTGACCCGTTCAGAATGCACAGATGAAATAGAGGAGACTTGAGCATCATTTAAAAAATGTCATTAGTACCGAGGTAACTTAGACTGGGAATTCTGCTGCCTGGATTTTTTTTTTTTTTTTTTAGCTTGATGATACCAAATCATCACTAGGTGTTATAGTTGGTGAGCCTTTTTTTTTTTTTTTTGGTACTAGGGATCCAAATCGGGACCTTGTGGTTTTGAGGCAGGTGGCGGAACCACTGAGCTAAATCCTTGGCCCCTGTTGCCTGGATGTGAAGGTGGGTACTTAGGTTATAACAAGGCAAGTAGTAATTCTTTGTATACTTATGCTGTGGACTACAGATTTTCTATAAAATATCTGAAGCCAGTTCGGTGGCTCCTAAGAGTTATTTTTTAATTTAATTTAATTTATTTTTCGGTACCGGGAATCTAACTCAGGACCTTGCGCTTGCCAGGCAGTGCCACTGAGCTACATCCCTGGCCCTTAAGATTTTTTATTAATGCATATTAATTGTACGTGTTAGTGGGGCTCAGTGTGATGTTTCCATACATGCACCCAGTGTGCACTGATAAATCCAACCTCCCTTTTGCCACCTTTCTCTCTGCCCTTCCCAATCTCTAGTAACCACTGTACCTCAGATGCTTTTTTCTTTTTCTAAACCAGACTCTTGATTTCTTTTTTGGTGTCTGTGTTCTTTTCTATTCATGTTGACGTTTAACCTATTGTCATAGAATTATAGAGAGGTTTGGACATTTAGCGATTGCCGAGTGCCTTGTGGTATACTTGTGTATTAGTCTGATCCTTCCTAATTAGTAAATGGGAAGCCCGAAGCCTGGAGAGGCAGTGACCTGTCCAGGTCACCACCTTGTCCACAATGCCTGGCTGTGCCGCCTGCTGTCATGTTCCTTCTCTAGAGTAGCTCTAATTAGCTGACCTTGCTATACTTGGGGGACAAGTTTAATTTTAAACACATTCTCTTGCCCCGAGCCCTTCTTTCTAATGTGGGCCAGTTACTAACCGATTATAAGGGCTATTATATTCACAGTGGCTGTGTTAGTATGGACTCGTGGGCAGTGGAGCCAAACTGGGGAGGGAATGAGAGGTTCATGAGCAGCAGGCACCCCAGTGTGCTACGAGTTCACCCTCCACCTTTTCTCGCCAAGGCAGAGAGCGGTGTGTTGTGTTGACACAGTGGAAGTGTCCTGTGTTAGAGAGGGAGGCTTCACACTACTCTTTTTCTCCTCCTTAGGTGCTTTCCCATAACCTGTGCACGGTGTTGAAGGTTCCACATGACCCTGTTGCCCTTGAAGAGCACTTCAGGGATGACGATGAAGGGCCTGTCTCCAATCAGGGCTACATGCCGTATTTAAACAAGTTCATTTTGGAGAAGGTAGGGTTCTGACCTCTTGTTTGATTTGCACTTGTCTGTTGGCTGCCAGAGCTGCGGTGGGAAGCGTCGGAGACTGACGGTTCTTCCTGCTCCACCCTCCACTCCCTTCTAAAATCTGCTTGATACTTTTCACCTTAGTTTGTTCTTTGAAAATAAGGACTATGTTTTATGTTAATTTGTACATGTCCTTTTTCGGGGGGCTGTATTCATTTGAAAAATGGGATGCCTTGGGTACCAGCATGGATGTGATGGAGTTAAGTGTGAATTCTAAAGGGGATGACAGTTGTCTTTACCCTTTAGAAATTATCCCACAGGGTTTTCAGCTTAGACTTTTCAAGGTACCACTTGGATGCTTCCTTTGAGTTATGTTCTGAGTAAAGATGTTATAAAAACCTGTTGTGTGTTTAGCAGCCAAATTTAACCTATTGACATTTGCTGCTATGTTCAGTTTTTATTAAAAATTTACATATGTGTAAATTTACTTCATGTGTAAGTTTTTAAAAAATTTAAAGTAGGTAGTACATAAAAACATAAAAATTATACAAATTTATAAGATACCATGTGATTTTTCTATATGTGTATATGTTGTTTAATGCCTAAATCAGGTTAAAGCTATCTTCTCAAACACTTATTATTGGTTTATGATGAAAACATTTAAAAAACCCTTTTCCCAGCTTTTTGAAATACCTCATCACTCTCTGTGGTCACCCTGCTGCACAGTAGCTTGCCAGACTGTGGCTTGGTAACCACTGGGCAGCTTCTCCCCTTTCTCTCAAGTATTGAATGTAATGCATGGAAAGAATCAAATAATCCAAACTGTTGGTATGTGTAAATTATTTTTATTAATTGGTGATTAAAATGTTATGAAAGGTAGTACATGCTTGCTATTAAATAGGCAGTTAATATAGAAATATATGATATAAAAAGTGACTGTTGTTCCTTTACTCTTACTAGTCTGATTCTCCAGGAGTAGTTATTGTTAAAAATTTGGTGAAGGGGCCAGGGATTTAGCTCAGTGGTTCCACTGCCTGCCTCGCAAGCACAAGGTCCCGAGTTCGATCTCCGGTACCAAAAAAAAATGCATGAAGACACACACACACAGACACATACACACACACACTTTTGTACACACATGGTGTGTTGTTTCTGTATGAATAGGATCACAAGTATATGTGTACTTCTGTAGTTTATCTTTCTAATACCTAGTATTATCTCTCCATGTCTTACATATTTAGTTTAAGTCTGAAAGTAATATTCACATCGAAAGTTATGGAAATCCTACTCTTACCTGTTGTTTTAGCTACTTCTCTCTCATTGCTTAACAAAATATCCAACACCCAAAGTTAAAAGGGAAAGGGATTATTTAGCTCACAGTTTGTAGAGGTTTCAGTTCATAGTCGGCTGGTTCAAGGCAGAATGACACATGGCAGAGGGGCTTTGTACAGGCAAAACAGTTCATAGCTCCCACACAACAAAGAACAAGAGAACCTTAACAGCATCTTTCTGCCCCTTTTATCTTATCCAGACTACTGGGATTAGGGCGGTGCCAAACCAGTGAGTGTACTGGTTTAATAATCACACACCCATAATCCCAGCATCACACACTCTAGATTCAGCCACCTCTGAAAAAGCCACGTATGACTGCATGAAGCTTTTGGTGGTGGTGGTGGGGGGGGCCGCATCTAGACCCAAACCATAACACCTACTAATAACACCAAGCATGATATTTTTTCATATTTTTTTTTAAATGCTTTTCAGAGCGTGACAATGGTAATACACCATTCATTCATTCACTCATTCATTCATTCATTTATTCATTGAGACTGGGTCTTGCTCTGTAATCCAGGCCAGCCTTAAAGTTAGTATGTAGCCCAGGCCTGTCTCAAACTGGTGATTCTCCAGCTTCAGCCTTATGAATGCTGGAATTACTGTAAATGCCAACATGCTTGACATTGATAATACTTTTTTTTTTTTTTTGAGACAGGGTCATGCTTTGTAGTTCAGGCTGACCTTCAACTCACTGTGTAGCTCAGGCTGGCCTCAAACTCTCAAGTATTTTCCTGGCAGAGATACTAGAATTGCTTTAAATGTGCTTTTTTCTCTTGCTTTGTGTATATTTTTAAATTGACAAATAAAAATTGTATAAATTTATGGTATATAACATGATATTTTGAAATAAGTATACATTGTGGGATGGCCAGATCAAAGTAATATGTGTATTACCTCACATGCTTACCATTTATTTGTAGTGAGAATACTTAAAATCCAGTCTTAGCAATTTAAGTACAAACATACTACATTATATTAACTATAATCACCATGTTGTATGGTCATGCTTTGGTAGAAAAAAGAGACAAGCTACAAGTAGTGAAATGTAAGATTTAACCCAGCTTACACAAGCTCCATTCATGTAGAATGTCCCAAACAGACACATGTATAGAGACAATGGCAACTAGAGGTTGCCGGGGGCTGTGGGGTGCTAGAAAAGCTGAGTGACTACTCATGGGCCTAGAATTTCTTTTTGGGATGATGAAAATGTTTGTGATAGTGGCGATGGTTGTGAAGTTTTATGGATATATATTAAAACCCATCAAATTGTATACTTTAGAAGTGTGAATTTCATGTTATAAAATTATATCTTTTTTTTTGGTGACAGGAATCGAACTGAGGTCCTTGTGCTTGCAGAGCAGGCAGCGGAACCACTGAGCTAAATCCCCGGCCCCCAAAATTGTATCTTAATAAAATGATTTATCAAATTGTACAGAAATTGATGTGTGAGGTCTCAAAACTTCACAGAATGATGCTATGCTATTTTCTGGAAGCTTTTTTTTCCTGCTACTGTTTTGTTCATTTATCAGGTGTCTCTCTTTTCTACAGTTGCTAAGTAGATATGTCTTATGTTCAGCAGTCATCTTCTATGTGCATGTATTTAAGCTTAAAAATCAGAGACAAGGGGCCAGGGATTAGCTCAGTGGTTTTGCCACCTGCTGCCCAAGCACAAGGACCCGAGTTCGATCCCCGGTACAAAAAAAAAAAAAATCAGACAATAAACAGGATTGTCTGTTACTAAGGTATTATAGAGCATACTGAGAAATTCTCAGCAATCTGGAAATTGCTTTGTTTTCGGTGATAAAATTTGTGTGAGCTGGGGCAGTGAGAACAGTCCACGGGCTTTGTGTATCCTGTTCCTTCATTTTTTTCCCCTTGGTGTACTGGTTTTTTTTAACCTCTTGAACTTTAAGTTTTAAAGTGTTCTTTGAGGATCTTGATATTTTAAAGTTTTGTTAATGGGGGAAAACTATGGCAGAATCTGAAAAATCTGGAATGAGCCACTGAATGTAGAGAAAAACTGATTCATGGAGCGAGTAAGGACGTGGTGAAACAGTGAGCCCTTGTGTGTCGCTGCTGGGCCACCTGGAGTGGAGTTTTGCCAGTCCCGCCGTCCAAGTAAGACACCCATAGTTTCCATGGTGTGTGTTTAAACCGAGCAAAGATGAGTGCCTTGTTCTGAAATTTGGTTGAAAAAAGGAAAATGCCAATAGTGACTGAAGAATGTTAGCGCAAAACTTAAGAGATTGTCATTAGTTTTGCAAAGAAAATACGAAATAATGATTAAACATTTGCAAAGTGTACTTTCCTGCATACACCCTGCCTCGCTCGATCCCCTTGTTAGCCCTGGGAGGTGGCACAGAACTTACCCCAGCTAATTCAGGCGGAAACGGAGCCTAACGAGGTCTGCGCAATAAGGGGTAGATAGGGTTTGAACCAACCCACTTAACTTCTCCACTAGTGTTCCTTTACCTGTCCTCTGGAGGGATTAATGACTTCTTTCAGAGTTACTATGCTTTTTCCTCCTAGTTATTTGGATAAATATGGGAAATAATGGTTGAAGGTAAGTGTGGAGTTGCTTTAAAAAACATTCTGGTAATCTCAGACTGTCTCAGCTTCCTAATGGTTCCTTTGTTTTCTTTCTCAAGTGTTTTAAGATGAGTCTTTTCTCTAAGTCTCTGGAGTTTCTTAATGTCTGGCCAGTTTTTCTCCAGGTTGTTTTAGGGGCCTTTTGCCTTTGTCTGGTTGTATTATTCTAAAGGTGTTGCAAATAAGACGTAACATATTGAAACTGGATTTCCAAAAAGTAATTTTATATATACAATAGTGTCTATATTTACTTCCTGATAATTCTTTTTGTGAGACAGGGTCTCTCACTGCATTTCAGGCCAGCCTTAAACACACTATGTAGCCCAGGCTGGCCTTGAACTCACAGCAGTCCTCCTGCCTCAGCCTCTGGAGTGCTGGGATTACAGGCATACACCAACACGCCTGGTTCTGATAATTACTCCTATTGTTCTTCACATTATAGAATTTATTTTCACCTTTCCTGAGACTTTACATGATTAACATGTTTGTTGTTCTTTTGCCAAGACTGATGTTTTCCAACAGTCCTTTGGTTGTTGCTTTTTGGGAGCATATGTACACACAAGAGAAAAACACTCAGAAACATTTCAGCCCAGTGTGTTCTCTCCTCTGCATTGTTATTCTCATTTTACATGTATGCTTTTTTCCCTTTTGTGTGGATACTTTCTTACCATGCTTGGTGCTCATGTGACAGTTATATTTCTTGCATAAAATGTGGTTTCAAGTTTCTTCTGGTAGTTTTTTTTTTTTTTGTATCAGGGATCAAACTTGGGACCTTGCGCTTGCGAGGCATGTGGTGGAGCCCCTCAGCTAAATCTCCGGTCCCCCTTCTGATAGTTTAATGACCACTACTCAGCTTTTTTTATTTTTATTTTTTGGTGCCAGGGATCAAACTCAGGACCTCCAGCTTACCAGGCAAGCGCTGGCTGAGCTAAACCCCCAGCCCCACCCCTCAGCCCTTAAAATACTTTGTATACAAAGAACTCAAAGAATTAGACCCCCTCAATAAAAGACCCAATAAAAAAACAGGCAACTAAAATGAATAGAAACTTCTCAGAAGTACAAATAGCCAATAAATACATGAA